AAAAAAAAAAAAAAAAGGATGTGTGGGCAACAGAACTGTGGTCCTCCAATGCCCACCACTTTGTTGGGGCATGAGGAGGGTGCATTCTTACTCCCCAGGCTCCTGAAGAATAATTGTGCCCAGGGTCTCTGAGCCCACTGACAACCCCAGAATAGTGCAGTCATCTGGGAATTTGCTTCATAGGAGACTGGACCAGGCCCCTTGGCTAGGCAACATCCTTTTTAAGATGGTCTTGTTTGTTACTAGAGAGACTGAGGGGATGCACTGTCAGGAAATTGAAGGCTCTGGCACAACCTGGCTTGTGTTTGGGGCCCTTTGCAACAAGGAAGTGTTGGCAAAAACATTGCTGCTGAGGTGCTCTATAACAAAAAGGCTGCTAGGGTACCAGGGTGGGCCAGAGGCCCCACAGGACTATGGTACCTGCCTACTCTGCCACTGCCTATGCAAGTGGCTCTTCTGTCATGAGGGGCCAGTCTCCCTCTGTCATTGCCCAAAATAGGACCTAACTCTTGGGTTCTTCCTGAAAGCATCCCATGACACCTCTCAGAGCCCCCAGGTCTGGCAGCTCAGCACAGCTTTGCCTGGCGTCTCACCTGGTACTGGTCACACTGTCCGCAGCTGTCTGGGAAACAAGTGTCACATCCTCGGGGATTGGATGTGTGCAAGATGTGCTTTTATTGTCAGTCCCTGTGAAATGCAGTCATGGGCTAGAACAGGGGCCTTGAGGCAGACCCTGGGCACAGGCAGCTTGGACAAGTGACATCCCATCTGCTTTGTTGGACAGGGGACCTCCCCAGAGATGGGTCCCACAAAATGTCTCAGTGCTCAGGGCTATGGAAGGCCAGGCCAAGCAGGAAAGCGAAACCTAAGGGTTTCTTAGCATCAGTCCCCAGCTGTCCCCTGGTCTTGTGCTGTGGCCTGTAGTGACCAAGTAATATTTAAGCCCCAAGAGCTGAACACCATGAAGGTAGGAACAAAAAGCAAATGAGAATACTTACCCTGCACCTGAGCAGATGCCAATGACTCTCCCTATGGCCAGTCAAAGAGACATTGTTTCTATCTCCAGATGAAAGGGACCAAGGACCCAGAACATCTGCCACCTGCTACTCTCTTTGAGTACTTTATTCTCATGGTCAAACAGTGCAGCCCAGGCTGTAAGGCCTATCTTGGGGTTCAGGTCCTGGCTCTGCCACTAATCTACATTGTGATCTGGAGATCACTTGGGTCCTTTCTTGGCCTCCTCTTCCTTCCTAGGATAAGTCCCCTCCCCTTTAATGCACAGCCTTTAATACCCACAAGGCACTGTCGTTCTGTTAACATGTCTGTTAAGTTGGAGTGTCCACCATGGCAAGTTGAAACCTCACATGGTTATCAACTCCTCTTCTGAGATCTCCTGTTTGCATTGTGGGTTGAACAGGAGGATAGGGAAACCAAACCAGCATTTCTGATGTCTTTGAAGTGTTGATACCAAGGATATTCAACCCACAGTTTTCCACAACTTTTGGCCACTTTGTGCCTGCACAAAGTTGGTGTGCAATGAACAGACTATATATATTCCCTGAAGCTTTGGTGTCCTATCCTGTTGGGAAGCATGGCCCTGTCTGCTGCTCTTGTTCTGCTTGGGGTCCCATGTCCAGTCCTGGCAGAAGGTGGTGGGGCCCCCAAATTCTAGCAGCCTGTCCCTTTGATACGAGTTGCCCACCTGTCTCCTTGCAGCAGGCAGGATGTCGGCTGCTGCAGCTGCCGCTGTGCTATCCCGGGAGCCCTACATGTGTGCACAGTGCAAGACAGACTTCACATGCCGTTGGCGGGAGGAGAAGGGCGGGGCCATCATGTGCGAGAACTGCATGACATCCAACCAGAAGAAGGCACTCAAGGTGGAGCATACTAGCCGCCTGAAGGCTGCCTTTGTGAAGGCACTGCAACAGGAGCAAGAGATTGAACAGCGCCTCCTGCAGCAGGGCACGGCCCCCACAACCACCACCAAGGCTGAGCCCACTGCTGCCCCCCACTTGGCCCTGAAGCAGGTGAGAACCGGTTGCCCCAGGAGGGGACTGCTCCCTTAGCAGCGAGCTGTCCTTAGAAGGCAGGATGTTCTGATGTTCTGTCCCACTCAGCGCTCATCCGCCTGATTGTTAACTGCGCGTCTAAATTGCACTTAATGGTGATGTTTGGCGGCGAAAACACTAATTTGCAGTTTCTTTAGATTTTGTATCTTTGACTTGCAGTGTGCTGGCTGACAAGTACTTCTTGTCTGAAAAGACTATTCCAAAAGCCATATTGAGATACCAAAGGGGCGTTTAGCAGAAATATTCTTGCTAAATTAAGGAGAGAAGCAAGTTTGAAATTAAGTTTTTTGTTTTTATTGTTTTAATGCTTCTCCTTCCCGTCCTCTGTAGACCTGAAGCTGCCTTTTGGTAATTTTGGTTTCCTCGGAAGTCATCTGTAAATCACTAAACAGGTTTTCTGAAGAACCTCATATGGCATCTAAAGCTGGCAGGCAATCGTGCTGCCATCAGGGGATGGGCCGGTCCTGTGGGGCACACCTTCAGTCACCCTAGGTCACCCTGGGCCAGCTAGTGGAGCAGACCTTGCTGATCTCAGTTTCAACCCCTATTTGTGTAGGTCATAAAACCCCGGCGTAAGTTGGCGTTCCGCTCAGGAGAGGCCCGAGACTGGAGTAACGGGGCTGTGCTACAGGTCAGAACCGCTGCACCGGGAGCCTCATGCCCCCAACCGCAGATGCGACCACGTCAGTCACCGACTGTCAGGCTGCCTGCGTCTGTCTTTCTGTTTTTCTCTCTCTCCCTGTTTTTCCTTCCCCCTGGTGTAACTTACCTGGTCTCCTGATTTTGGACTTTAGGGACCCTGTGTGGGTGGGCAGAGGTCAGCCAGAACGAGGAGAGGCTGCGTTGAGCATCTTGCCCGTGGCTGCCCCTTCCCCTCATGATCCATTGTCCCTTTTCTCCTTTGCAGGCCTCTAGCCAGCTGTCCCGAGGCTCAGCCACAACGCCCCGTGGTGTACTGCACACATTCAGCCAGTCTCCCAAACTGCAGAACACAGCCTCGGCCACAGCCCTGGTCAGCAGGACTGGCAGACATTCCGAGAGAGCTGCAGGTGCTGCCAAGGGCAGTGCCACCTCCAACTGGAAAAAAACGCCCCTGAGCACAGGTGGGTGGCCTCTGCAGCTCCATGCTCAGACCTTGCTGCTGTCAGGTCTACCCTTCCTTATTTTCTCTTTTTAACACAGAATCTTGCCATTTCCTTGGTCTGAAAATCATAAGCTCAAATGATTCTCATACCTTAGCCTCTCCATCATCACCATCATCATCATCATCATCATCATTTATTTTTGGTGCTAGGGATTGAGCCCAGTGGTGCTTAACCACTGAGCCACATCCCCAGCCCTTTTTTTTTTTATTTTAAGATAGGTTATCACTAAGTTACTTAGATTCTTGCAGAATTTCTGAGGCTGGCTTCGAATGTCCTCCTGCCTCAGCCTTTCGAGCTGCTGGGATTACAGGCATGTGCCCCTGCGCCCAGCCTTCCTCATTCTTAACAAGGATGCTCACACACCTGATGATCATAAGTGGCACAAAAGGCCCCATGCTGCAGACCTGCTTCCTAAGAAGAACCACCTCTGAATTTGGCTTTATCTCTTCCAGTCCCTGAGTAGTGTGTCCTGAATAAGTGACAGCCCCCAGTAGATTCTGATCACTCTGGCAGTTTGTACTGGCTGTAACCACACTCAAATGTGAGCAGACCTTGTTTGCAGGTGCTTGCCCACCCATCCACCCCCACCCCAAGCCTCTGTGCAGACTCCTCAGCACAGACCCATCTTACCCACTCATGGCTACCTACCTTTTTCCTGCCTCAGTTAACATCTGTTTGTGCTGTCACTGCATTGTTCATCATATACTCACTGTGTTTCTCACCCAGAGCATGCCCTTTGTCCACTGCTCTGGGGGACCCTTTCCTCCCATCCTGTTTTGGACACATGAAGTGGTACAAAGTACAAAAGAACAGGAGTGCAGGGAGGAGGGAGGGCTGGGGTGAAATGAAGTGGCAGCAGAAGCCCTCTGGAGGAATTGCTGGGGGAGAGGAAGACCCTGACACGTTGACTGTCCCTGGTGTCATTTCCTAGCCTACTTCCCTATTTGTAACATATTCTCACTTATGTGCTAACATAAGGATTCAATATTTTGTGTGTCTGCCAAGCACAGGAAAATGAAAAGTAGGCAGGAAGGTAAGTGAAGGGGAGGGCAAGTGCTCTCAATGTAGTTGCCAAGCGTCCTCAGTTGTTCCCTGCAGCTTGAGTCTCCTTAGGAAGAAGAGGCGTCATTACAAGATGTCAGAACTTGAGAAATCAGGCTGTTTCTGCAACAGAAGTTGAGAACCTCCTGTTTAAGTATCGACCCAGGGGTTATGGATGTGCCCCTGCCAGAGCACCAGTAGAGATAGTTCAGGAAAGAGAGGCCATTTATTTGGTCACAGGAACATGAGTGGCCTGGAGATCACAACACATTTGTAAATATAGACCATCCAGACTTGTTTTTGCCTGGCATGTTTAACAAACAGATAAGAACTGTGGGGCTAGTCAGAAGTTACTTTTGTAGAAAATTTGAAAGCGATAAAGTAAGAAGGAAAGTTGGACAGTGGCACCGGCCTATTGTCCCAGCCTCAGCAACATAACAAGACCCTGTCTAAAAACAAAAAATACGAAAAGTGAAAAATGAGTGAATGTGGACATAGTGACAGAAATCCATCAGGAAACTGTGAGAGGGTAGAGTACTTGCCTAACATGCGCAGGCACTGGGTTCATCCCTGGCACCCACCACAGAGAAAGGAAAAGAAATTGGTATGTGTGTTCAAGGGTAAAATTTGAAAGGAAATTTGAAGGCACAAGTAGTCCCTGCATCGGTTGGTAGGATTAGAGATCAAGCATAATGGTTTCCCAACAGCTTTGCTGGTGTTCCCAAATGCCTCAGGTTTCTGGGCTGTGGTTTGAGGGAAGCTCTTAGCAGGTGCCAGGTTTCTGGAATGCAGGCCTTAACTCTGCATGCGGTGTCGGTGGGGGGGGGGTTGTCCTTTGCCCTTGTTCCATAAAATGTATTAGCCTCCACTAAAAATATTCTAAGGATAGGTAGCAGAGTGTTGCTCACTGTTCTGGTGAGTCCAGAAAATGGCATGTGCTGGATGGGAATCATTACTTTATTTTCCAGTTATAAGAGTGTTATTTGTAGAAATAGGAAAATATAGTAAGACAAGGCCATGGCAGTAGCAATAATTTCTACACCAGGAGAATAAATACCACAGGGGATTTTCTATCTCTCTCCTGCCCTCTTCGGTCACGTGCGTAGCGTTCTCTTGTGTTTGCAAGCCAGAACCCCTCTAATGTGTAAATGAGTTTACTGTCTCATTAAAAATTTGTGTAGTGGCACACACCTGTAATTCCAATGACTCGGGAGGCTGAGGCAAGAGAATCAAATTCAAAGCCAGACTCAGCAATGTATTGAGACCTTTCTCAAAATCAAAAGGGCTGGCGATGTGTCTCAGTGGTTAAGCACTCATGGGTTCATTCCTTGGTACCAAAAAACAAATCTTAGTTGAAGCCATGTCAGTTATGCATGCCTATAATCTCAGTTATTTAGGAGGCCAAGGCAGGAGGATGGCAAGTTCCAAGATAGTCTGAGCAACTTAGTAAGACCCTTTCTCAAAAAGGGATAGAGGTGTGGTTCAATGGTAGAGTGCCCCTGGGTTCATTTCCCAAAACTGGGGAGGAGAAGATTCTTAACCCAGCAGTGGAGCATGCAGTAATTCCAGTTCTTGCGGGCTAAGGTGGGACAATCACTTGAGCCCAGGGAGTTTGAGGCCAGCCTAGGTAAACATACTAAGGACCTTATCCCCAAAACAATTGAGGGTCAGGTTGTTTTTAATGGCCAAATAGTATTTCATCAGACTTCATGCATTGCATTGGAGGTTGAGTCCCTTGATGGCAAGTTTCACTGTTCTACCCAGCACTGTGGTAAGCACCTTGGTCCATGTAGCACCTGATAACTGACTAATCATCATCTAACTCTGCAGAGCCAGGGAATATTTTCAGGGTGATCTAATTGTTTTCTTGCATTCTCTTTAGTGCAAGGCCTGGGATTTGGGATGATGACAGTGCTGTAGGGCTGGTAGGTTTGTGATCTTGTTTGTGTGATGGGCAAGGTCTAGGCTACAGCCTGTGCTCTCCTCCACTGTGGGTAGGATTCTCCCAGGAGCCTCTGCTGACTGGGGGCCATCTCGACCTGTCACTGTGTTCTGTTGCAGGCGGGACCCTGACATTTGTCAGTCCAAGTTTGGCAGTTCATAAGACGTCCTCTACTGTGGACCGCCAGCGAGAATACCTCCTCGACATGATCCCACCACGCTCCATCCCCCAGTCGGCCACGTGGAAATAGTGTGAGCCAGGCCCAGTGGAGGACAGGCTCCCTCCTCCCTCCCACCTGGCCCTTGGTCTAAAAGGACACACCACACTGCCCTCTGCGAGCGAGTGATGGCCATGCTGCTACTGAAGCAAGACCTCAGTCCTTGGTTGCAGAGCCTCATCGCAGCTGGGGAGAGGGGTGCTGCTTCATGGTGGGCAAGGATCATAACTGAGGGACCTTTCCGTGGGCTTTCTTCCTTTCTCTCTTTGCCTTTAGTTTGCCCGACACCAGCAGAAAAGTGGACCTGGGGGGGCTGGCTGTGCTCCTGGCCCCCTCCCTCCGCCCCCGGCAGGCACACACAGGCGGTTCATCTTGGACACTGTGACACACTCAGGCGAGGCTGGCACCCAGGGCTTCTGAAGTCAAGCGAGGCATTTCATTTTCCTTTTTGCTTTTCCCCCATCTTAGGCTCCCAGTCTTCAACTGCCTCCCCCCATGGCAACCTATAGGTTGAAGTTGTTTTTTTTTTTTTTTCCCCTAATCACCTCATGATGATGGAGTTTAAAGTAAACCGTGCAGGTCCAGGGGTCTCTGTCGTGCACAGTGTAGTCCCACCAGGCCCATATGCTGGAAGGTGGTTCACTGATGGTGCCGAAGCCCCCAGCAGAGATGGCTGGCCCAACCCAGATGACTGATGGACACAGGGACAGCCAACATGGCTCTTGCTTCAGCTGAAAGCCTCCATTGCTGCTCGTTCGGAGACCCCAGACTTCCCACACGTAGCAGAAGAACAAACTGCAGCCAGACCCAGCCAGAGACCCAGGGATTCCCGAAGCGGTGCGCTGCCCTCAAATCAGGGAGGAGAGAATCAACTGGCAGCCACACCCAGGAGCCTGAGCAGGAAGTTGCGGGGGAGGGCTGCTGTGGGGGTTTTTTGTTGTTGTTGTTATTGTTGTGGTTTATTTTATTAAATTTTTTCCTTTTCTTTTCCTATCTTTTTGATGGACACAATCTCAAGCCACCCTGGCATGTGCACCTGTCAGTGAGCACACACAGGTGTGTCCAGGCTAGGAGGCGCCGTCCAGGTGTGTGGCGAGCTGCTTTCCCCCAGACTTAAGGATTTCCACTTGGGTTTAGTTAGAGCCTTTCCTTCAAGCTGGGGGTTGCTGTCAGGGTCTGCTTTCAGACTTCTTTTCTCTCTCTATTCCCCTTTAGAATCTACAGAAATGTGGTTTTTTTTTTTTTAAGGATCAGGTCTGCTTATAGTTTTATTTTCTTTTTATTTCTTGCCCTTCTCACTCCTTAAAAATTGGTTCTGTGAGGAAAGGTGGAAGCTGTTCTGCGTCTACCACACTGGGCCAACCCTGGGCCCATGTGAGGGTATCCCCCGTACATGCACATCTGTGTGCCTACAAGAAGACTGGGCACCGCCATTCCCTAGTTCCTCTCCAGCCCATTTTCCTACTTATGCATTTAGGGACTTTAATTTAAAATCCTTATCTGTAGGACCGCCTTCTCCAAACACAACTGCTACAACATTCTAATAAAGGCTCATTTAACCCCCATGCTCACGTGTGAATATCATCAGTCTTTAGAAAACATTTTTTTGACACATAGTAGAGGAACTTAGTTTTTGGAAATTGTTCCAATTTTTTGTGCTAAACTCTGAATTTCTCACCAACTTTTTTGTTTATTCTGAGTGCATAACTTCACTGGGCTACAGTAGGAGAAGGGGGAGGGAAGGGTGGCTTTCATTCCAGTATCCAGGGATTCCGGGGAAAGGAGGGAAATTGACTTTTTTTTTTTTTTTTTGGAGGGGGGGAGGGTGTGTTTTTACACCAAAAAAGAAAAAAAAAAAGTATGCAAGCATTTCTATTCCTCGCATTTTTCTGTGTGCCTGGCAAATAAATACCTGTCTTATACTACCCTGAGCTGTTAGCCCTCTCTGTTCAGTGACATGGGCCAAATCTTCCAACTCCCCAAGTAGGAGCGCCTGGGAGGCCTCTTCCTGTTGAACAAACCTCAGTTCTATGCAGTAAACTCAGGATCAAGCAACCGAGCCGAGTCCTCCCTGTGCTGGGTTTAAGCACCCAGCTTGGGTTGACCAGGTCTGAAGAGAGGGCCCAGTCCCACCCACCCATACCACATCCTGAGCTATCCAAGCCTTGCTGGACTTTTCCTCTGGGACTTAGGGCTATTAACTAGGACAGTCTGTAGTTCAGACCATGACTCCAGGGTGCCATAGGCAGAGGACAGGGTGGTAGGGACCCTGGCTCCTCCAGCACCCTTCCCTCCATCCCGTGACCCAGGAGCATTCCCAGGGATGACATACTGTGACATGAACATAACTTTTTTTTTTAAAGGGGACAGTGTGAGATGCCTTAATCTTTCATTTTGACTGTCTTGAAAGTTCACCTTTTTTTTTTTCTTGAGTTCCCTCTTTGTGATATAACTTGTGTGATAAAACCCCAAGTGGGTGATTCTGTGCTGAAATTTGTTAACACCTAAAGGCATGACTGAATACCTCTCTGGGTGTGGGTTGAGCCATACCAGGAAAGGATATTTATTAGCATTAAGGGTATTTACAAAGCGCACCTCAAAACCAGCCACCATTCCCTGAAGTGCTGGCAAGTCCTGGTCTTCCCTGAGAGCCCTTGCAGGGATCTAGCTCTTGAGAGCCATGAGCCTATGGGAACCCACAGGCCCAAAGATTGATTATAACAATCTCCAGTTACCTCTAACACAAACCTCCAAGGCAACTGGAAACCTGTGTTCAATGAGGGTGGGGACATCATGCGTTTTGAAGTTGGGGCAAGTTTGAAATGACAGTTTATGTTCACACATTCCCATCTGGAGCCACCCATGGCTCTAGCCATCTTGACTGTATCATAGGGACTCCAGTCCAAGAAGAACTACACCTCTGGTGAGCATGGGTGTCCCCTGAGGGTGGGACAGTAGCACTGAGCAGCTTTGGTTCCTAACTACCTCTCCAGGACCTCTGTGAAGCTCACCCTAGGCAGAGGGAATGAGGTAATCAGCTGCTTCCTTGTGTCTTGTTTCCACATGCACTCTCCTATTGGCTGGAGAAACACAAATTTTTCTATATAAATATTCTTATAACAGGGATATGGGAAATGAAAAGGATGGTCCATGCCACTCTGCCGTAGGGTTTTTCTTTGATGCTGAGTTATATGCTGCACATGACGTTAGCCTAAAGAATTTCAACAGCTTTTATCAAAAGGACAGCAAACATTTTTATAATCCTTAACAAAGAAAGTGTAATAGATGGTTACACTAGTGCAGGGTATGAGGGAATCTTGGGGCGGTGGGGAGGTTGTCACTTGTATTTATTGTGACTATAAATCTTTGATAATAAAACATGTAAAAAAAATGTTTGCCACCAAACCAATAGAAGTTCCAAAACAAAGAGACTGGAATTGGTGGTCATACTTTGTATCATGAGGAACTTTTAGACTCTGAAGGACAATAAAGAAATGGATAATGTGTCAACTGTACTTTTCTTTTGTCCCCTCTACCTTGATTTCCCTGTGTTTTGTTCCAGCTTCAGGGCAGCTTTGTTAATGGGGGAAGAATGCAACTAGGGCATCTTACCTGGATGGTGTCCCTACCTACCTACCCTTGGTCCTAGGTCCTAGGCAATATCTGCACCAAGACCTGGGGTTCTGGACCTAACTTAACCCCATAAGACCAGAGGAATGGGCTCAAGATCCCAGTGGGTTTTGCCCATCAGCCTCCAAACTCCAGTCAGTGCAGGATTTTTTTTCTGGAGCAATTTTCAGGCTTGGTACCTTGAGAAGTGGTCTTTGCTGCAGAACTTGATATTACAGATGCACATTCTAAGCACAGTTTGCGCTATGGGCTGTCTCCAAAAGTGAATGATATCTGATGAAAATTTGTTTTCAAGATGCTAAAAGTTTCACATTTTATTTTTGGTGCCGGGGACTAAACCCAGGATCATGTGCATCTAAGCATAACAGAGCTACACTACAGCCCCTCACATTTGTTTTCATTTTAAAAAACTTTTTTCAGTAATAGAGGTTGAACACCAAGGCCTCAATGCCAGGCAAGCACTCTTAACACTAAACTACATCCCTGCCCCTTTTACTTCATTGTGAAACAGGGTCCTGCTAAATTGCTGAGACTGGTCTCAGCCCCCTGAGTCACTGGGATCACAGGCACAGTGGCTGGCACATTTTTATTTTTAAAGTGAAACTTGGGATCACTTTGCATTCCAATGCATAAAATATGACCTTGTTTTGCTGTTTGGGCGGCATCCTTCCCTCTACCCTGGGAGCTGACTACCTCCCAATAGCCTCCCAATAGTGTGCTGAGTCACTTCAGCAACGCACAAGAGCTGGTAGAGGGCAGAGTAGATATTAAACCCAAGCCTGTTCTCCACCTGTAAGATCCCAACTAGTGCCCCATCACCCAACACTGACCTCAAGAAACATACTATATGGGGCACTTTGGGGCCCTACCTCCACCCTCAAGATCCCTGTGCTTCTCTGGATCACATATAGGCACCTCATTGGACCAGGGGCAGATCCAGTCCTGGACGGTGGTCTCAGCAAGTTTCTCAAGCTGAGAAATGGGACAATAGCCCTGGTCCCTGAAACTTTTTGCCCCCTGAACTGGGCCCTGGGCCTGTGTGGCCATGGAGCAGGGCCCCAAATGTTCCTACAGATTCATCAGTGGGCCGATGGCATGTGGCAGTAGCCATCCAGGTGGAAAGAACTGGGTGTCCCAGAGGAGGTAACATCAAGTTAACTCAAATGAAGGGAGGGAAAGTGACGCCTTGAGTGAGAAGAGCCTAGGCAATGGTTTGGTGGTGGGATGAGGCACAGGTCAAGAACAAAGAGGACAGAGTGGTTGCACTTTAAGGACACAGGTGAGGAGGATGTGGATGCACTCTAAGTGCAGTGGAGGCCCTGGGAACACTGGAGGCTCCATCCTCCAGTGTAGAGCAGAAGGCCTGAGTTTTCTGCCTCAGCTGTGACAACCCAGTCAGAACTGGAAGGTCAAGCACACTCTTCTAGCCTCAGTTGCCTCATGGGCAAAATGAGGGGGATGGGGCCACAGTCCATTTGAAGGGGGTAAGGGGAGAACTAGTGCTCAAACTCCAAGATAACAGAAAGCATGGAAGGTGAGTGAGTAGTGGCTGGCATGGCAACATCCACAGCTGAGAAACTCCCTCTAGGACCATTGAGGTTCAGATGAAATCGAGCAGGTTAGAGTTGAGGAACATATTTCTCATACACCACAAATGTCAGCAAAATGTCACCGAACCTAGTAACCTCACTGCAGCCAAAACTCCCAACCTCCCCCAGGCCCTGTGGGGTCCCCCCTGGACTTGTAGCTCTCCACCTCCTCTCCCCACTCCCTTGCTCTTCTAGCCACAGGAATTTCCTGGCTTACTCAAACCTCTGCCCTTTTCCAATGACTCCTTCAAGACTCAACTCAAATGTGATGGCACATACCAGTAAACCCAGCCACTCTGGAGGCTGAGGCAGGAGAATCTCCAGTTTAAAAGCCAGCCTCAGCCACTTATAGAAGCCCTAAGCAGCAACTCAGCAAGATCCTGTCTCTAAATAAAATACAAAAAAAGGGCTGGGGATGTGGCTCAGTGCCTTTGTGTTCAATCCCTGGTTACTTGCCCCTCGCCCTGCCCCACCCCTGAAAAAAGTGATGGCTTTAATTGTGGATGCCTCCTTCCTCCTCCTGGCGTTTAACACAATTTATAATTATTATTTGGTACCAGGGATTGAACCCAGGTGTGCTTAACCACTGAGCCACATCCCTAACCTTTTTAATTTTTTATTTTGAGGCAGGGTCTTGCTAAGTTCCTGAAGCAAGCTTTGAACTTCGCAATCCTCCTGCCTCCATCTCCCAAATTGCTGGGATTACAGGCATGCTCCACCATGTTTGGCTTACAATTATTTCCAAGCAATTCTTTTATTTTACTTAATTTTCCCTTGCTTTCTCATGAGGACAGGGATGGGTTGAAGCCTCTACACTGAGTTCCAGGGCCTTGGTACACAGCAAGTGCCTAAGAAATGCATGAGGACTGAGCAGGATTCACTCTAATTCTATCCCCAAACTCTTCCCAGAGGCAAGGTACCTTCACCAAAGAGAACTTCCCCACTACAAAAAGATCTAGCTTCCAATCACAGCCTGTCTGTGGGCAAATAACAGCTGGGTGGGCCTGTTTCCTTATCGATTAATGCCAGTTTATACCCAGCATCCCATACACAGCATTGTCAGAAATCCTGAGATAACAAGAGACCCTCTGAATTTGCCCCATTTGGAGAATCCCATATATTGACTGGGGTTTGAATCCTCCCAACTATTTATTTGGTACCAGGGATTGAACCCAGGGGTGCTTAACCACTGAGTCACATCTCCAGACCTATTTATTTATTTACTTCATTTATTTATTTCTGAGACTGGCTCTCGCTAGATTGCTTAGGGCCTCGCTAAATTGCTGAGGCTGGCCTCGAACTTGCCATCCTCCTGCCTCAATCTCCCTAGTCGCTCGGAACACCACCACGCCTGGCCTCCCAACTCTCTTCTGAAACTGGAAGACAGAACCTCAATATGCCTTCCTCTATAATGGGCAGACCGCACCAGCCTTCTCCCCCGGGTGGCTCCCTCCCCCCTGCTCCGTAAAAGGGGCCACTGCTAAAGCCACTTTGCGAGGAAGAGCGAGTTTATTGCAGGTTCTAACCGAAAATCTGGCATCCGCGGCTGGCTGGGGAGGGACGCCCTCCACGCATGTCGGCTCGCCGGCAGCTCCTCCACTAAGCCACCATCTGCCGCGTAACCAACGCTCATTCCGCGCAGGCGCAAAGCTTCCGTCTCCTCTCGTCTGGCCCCTCCCGGGGCCTTTTCGCAGGGACTTGAGGATGCATATGCGCCCTCCAGCTCTCGGGATTGTGGAGGAGGAACTAGATTCCAAACCCGGGCAATTGCGGCCCACGCCGCGCAGGGGAAGGAAAAGGGTAGAGCACGTGTGCAATCGCAAGCGGCGGCTTCGCGGGTTTCCGGAAGCGTGCCTCTCGCGCGTGCATCGCGCTGGCTCAGTGCAGGGTTCACCGGGAACCCCGGGAACCCCGGCTCCTAGCCGGAGTCCCCAGCGCGCAGCCAGCTGTTGCGCGCTACCTGGCCCGCTGAGGGCCTGGCTGATGGGCTGAATTGTAGCAACTCGGCAATCAGGGACTTGCAGCGCTCGGAGAGCTCGAGGCCCTCGGGATAGAGCACGCCGCGCTTCTGGCGCCGGGGCAGGCCCGCGATGTCTGAGTCGTCGAAGGGCATGCACCCGGTGACCATGACGTAGAGCACGACGCCCAAGCTCCACACGTCATATTTCTTGGGGTCGTAGGGAATGCCCAGTAGTACCTCAGGTGACGCATAGGCTGCCGAGCCGCAGTAGGTGGTGCTAAGGTCTGGATAGCCATGAGCCTGACGACCGAAGCCGAAATCGGTGAGCTTGACGCGGCGCTCGTCAGGGCTCAGCAGCACATTTTCGCACTTGAGGTCGCGATGCACCAGATGGTGGTCGTGCAAGTAACGTACAGCGCCCGCGATCTGCGCGAAGAGCTCGCGCGCCTGTGATCCAGGAATTCGCCCGTTGCGCTGCACCGCCTGCAGCAGGTCGGTGGCGGCCGCCTCCATCACGATGTACAGCTTCCCGTTGCACACCTCGATGAATTCGAAGACGTGTACGATATGCGGGTGCCGTACGCCCCGCAGGATGGACAGCTCTCGAGGCAGGAACTTGTTGACGAAGTCCGGGGGCGCTCGCCGCCGGTCCACCACCTTGATGGCCACCGTACCCTTGTACTTCTTGGAAGTGGCCACCTTAACCTTAGAGTAGCTGCCCTCGCCTATTGTGCGACCCAGCTTATAGCCAAGTTCGCTCAGGAGTTTGTCACCCGACATGGTGGCGCCCGGGGCGCGCGGGGAGCAGGAGGCGGCTGCTGTCGGGGGGCGGCCGGACTCCGATCTCGGGCCTAACCCATGGCGCTTGGCACCTGCACACCCGCACCCCCATGTGCCCACTCCCGAGCTCCCGCCGCCACGGTGCCTTTTATTTCCCAGGTAACAATTTCTGCCTTGTGAAGTTACTGCGGGCGTCACTCTACCTCGGGGTGGGGGCCGCCCGGACCCCGCCCCGCGAGCTCCCTAAGCCCCTCTGCTTTGTGACTCAATCGTCCAGAATGGTCAGTTCCTGGTCAGAGGCCACTAGCAAGGGGTACCGACCACCACTGGGAAGCGGAATTTGTTCCTGGGATTAGAGCGTTTCCTCGTGAGTCCCCCCATCTTCGTTTACCCAACTTGTGACCATGTTCTCTCAGGGCAGCCCCAATGAGATGGGACCTGGAAAGGAGGACTTAACTCGGGGACCTGGTTCCCTGGGGAGTTCGGGGTTTCTGACCCCTTTGTGCATCGCCCAGGGGGAAAGGTGAGCGTGAGGGATTTTAGTGCAAAGTTCAGGGTGCCCTGGCGACCTCCAGGTGCGAACAAGGGCTGACTCACGCCCGAGAAAAAGAAAATCAGGACTGTTGGACCGCAGCCCGGCCACACACTCAGACTCGGGCCCTGCTGCCTGAACTCTCCAGAGCGGTGGAAGAACCATCCCAACATCTTTGGTTCCCTAGCGCCGCAGACTTTCGCTGGCGCTTCCGCCACTCTCAGCATGGCGGCGGGCGGGGCGCGTCACTTCCGCCTCAGGCCGGAAGCCTGGGGGCTCTGCTGGCATGGCGGCGTCGAAGGTGAAGCAGGACATGCCCCCGCCAGGGGGCTACGGCCCTATCGACTACAAGCGAAACCTCCCGCGCCGCGGACTGTCGGGTCAGTGTAGCTCCACGCCAAGGTTCTCAGGGTCTGGGCCCTCTGGATGTAGAGGCGGGATTCGGGGACGTGAGCAGGCCTCAGTTTATCCGAAGGGGTGACGGGGTTACGGGAGGCCGCGGGGTCTCAGTGGCTTCAGTAGTAATAATGATAACTGCTGAGTAGTTATTATTATTACTACTGAAGTAGTTATTGTTATTACTATAATAGCGGGCCTGGCTTCCTTCTAACAGCCCAGGAAGTCCGTCCCCTTAGTTATACCCATTTTACAGTGGGTTAAACAGATTGGTATAGCCTGTCCCCAGTCCCCTCAGCCACCCTTGGGTTTCACAGGCGGGGAAACTGGTCCCATGGAGGCTACGATTTCCCCAGGGTCAACAAGAGCAAGGCTGGAGAATAAAACCCGAAACCAGGGGGAATTTATAAGATGTTCTAGGCGGTGTTTCAAACTCGCTGGTAAACCCCAACTACAAAATGCCCCGGGAATTCGTCTTCTTAAATTTTCAACTGTTATAAGTAACATTTTAAATTTTGTTATGGAGTTCAACGGAGAAAAATATAACAGACCGTAAAAGGCTCAGATTTAAAAGAAATATAAAAATTTAAACATAATTAAGGGGTGAGTGCATTTACTGTAACTCATTGAACTTCACGTTTAAAACCTGTGCATGTGGTGGGCGCACACCTATAATCACATTGAATCTCAGACTCAGGTGGCTGAAGCAGGAGGGTAGCAAGTGTCTTAGCAATTTAGCAAAATACAGATGACAAAGGCGGCAGGGTGTAGCTCAGGAGAACTTTCAATTCATGTGCATGATTTAAAAAAAAAAAAAGATTCATACAGTAGAAAAGTCAGTCTCAAGGTAAATAGCTCAAGAACGGAGCACTTGCCTAGCATACCACAGGCCTTGAGTTTTATCCCCAGCATCACTGAAACAAGTAACATTTTAGGCATTTCAGGACCAGAGGATCTCAGCTGCCAAAACAATCATTTACAAATGTAACTGTGTTTTTAGCTCCTGGGCCTTGGAAAAACAAGTTATAGGCTAGATTTGGAGAATTTAATGATCTGAATCTTTTTTCTTTTGTTGTTTCTTTTTTTCTTTTTTCTATGTATGGAATCCAAAGCCTTGGGCTACTTATTCATTTTTTATGTGGTGCTGAGAATTGAACCCAATGCCTCACACATGCTAGGCAAACACTCTACCACCTGGCCTGATCCCCAGCACCCTCTCGTTTCTTCTTGAGGTATAACTTAACATCCAGGATAGTGCACCCGCCTTGGGTGTGCTGCACATGTATTTATATGTGTTCATCTATATGACCTGCACTCAGACCAGGACACAGAAAGAACCCAGCCCTGGGGTGCCCTTGGGTTCCCTGAGTTAGCATCTCATTTTTATTTTTAAGTCAAATATGACTTACCTGGCTTCTTCCAGTTCATGACACAGCAGTGCCTCCCATTGTGCAGGTGAAATATCACTGTCTTAATCACACACCCTTTATGTATAAACTCACTCTAGTCTTTCCTGGCTGCACGGGGATGAAGAAAATAACCTATTCTGGTGGCTCAGTCTTCATTTTTGTACCGTTTTCAGTATCTGGTTGTTGAGTGACTGAAGGCATGGCACTGGTCCTGTCCCAAGGTGCTCAGAGTACAGCTGAGAAAACATCCAGAATTTCTAGTTGTGGCAAAGCCTGAAATAACCAGGGTCTGCTTTATCCCAGTTAGGCCAGGGCAACCTCTCAGAAAAGGAGCCTGCAGGCAGGGGAACAGCAAGTGCAAAAGTCCTCAACCCAACCCCAGTCCCTACCCTCTATCTTCTAGTCTTGCCTCTTTTGAGCCATGGTCCATATCAGCTCTCCCCTCCATCTGTTCTACCCCAGCTCTCCAGTCCTGTACAAGGTTTTGTGGCATAGCACTCGCTCCCCTCTCTGCCTATCCCACACACTGTCAGCATTCCAGAACAGTTCAGGCTGGTTCAGGCCACCTTTAATCTAGCCCCTCCTCCACTCATCTCTCACACCAGCTCTTCACTCCCTCTGAGGCTAGTAGACTGCTCTTTATATCTTGGATCTTTTATTGACATTCACATACTGTACCCTACAATTCACTCATTTAAAGTGTGTCTAGCTGGGGGGTTAGCTTAGTTGTAAAGTGTTTTTATCTTGTTTTTTTTTTTTTTCCCCCTGTATTGGGATTGAACCCAGGGGTACTCTACCACTGAGCTACATCCCCAGCCATTTTTTATTTTGAGTCAGTGTCTAGTCCTGAGCCAGGCCTCAAACTTTTGACCCTTCTGCCTTAGCCTCCTGACTAGGATTACAGGTGTTGTTTCTGCCTTTTAGCTATCATGAAAAATGCTGCTGGAATATTCATGACCAAATATTTGTGTGGACATAGGTTTTCATTTCTCCTGGATAAATTTCATCCAAGAGCAGAATTTCTAGATCATAGTAACTCTGCCTTTAACATTTTGAGAAACTACCAAACTTTTCCACTAACCATGCTATTATACCCACCCCACCTCCCACACCCCTGCAATGTATGGGACTTCCAACTGATCCATACTTCCTTAGCACAAATTAATTATTTTGTAGAACTGGGGCTATGCTAGCCAAGCTCTCTACCACCGAGCTACATCTCCCCAGCCTATCCCGCCCCCTTTTTTTTTTTAATAGCCATCTAAGTGTATGTGAAGTATCATTGTGGTTTTGATATGCATATCCCTGGTGACCTCCTGCTGTTGAGTATCTTATTTTTTGGCCATTTGTATATCTTCCTTAGAGAAATGTCTATTTACATTTTTTTTACACATTTTAAAATTGGATTAATTTTTATTATTGAATTATAAGAGCCTTTATATATTTTTT